ATTAATGTATCTCACTTAAAGTGCGGGCAATTTTACAGAGCATTCGCCATTCCTTACACAGTCACCTCATGGTGAGTGTGAGCCAGTGGGTTCCTTGCTTCACTGAATGAGAATGATGGAGTGCTCTGTCACAACGCAGGCTCTGTAATCAACTGTGAGTTACAGCGGAAGTGTGTAACCTGACACGCGATTCATTTAGCTCTTGCTGGCTTTAAAAAGCATAATAACCCATAACACGTAATTTGTTGTCTGTGATGCTATGCAATATCGCTTGTTTTGTGCTGTTTAATATCAGACAAGATTACTGCACAACAACCTTCAAATAGCAGGGGATGGCCGTGGGCCCAATCGATTTGGAACACAGGCTGCTGTGGGATGGTGTTTTGAAATATATATTTCGTTTCAAGATCTTTGATATATTTCGATTTAAAGCTTCGTGACTGCAGGGATTCATATTCTTGGTTCTTTCGGTAAAGGTCACGTAGAAGGGAAACAATAAAGAATAAAACTATTAACAATAACATTCTCACGACGTTTCGATTGACACAAGCAATCATCATCAGGTGTGAAAACCTTCTACGTGACTTTACCGAAGAACCAAGAATATCTTGATATAGTTAAGATATAGCTTCAGTGGGGGGGGGGGGGGGGGGGGGCGGTTTGTGCGTGCAGTTTTGTTCCTGCAATGGAGCGACGCACGTTAAGAATATGAGGACTCCGTTGAAGTTACTATTTAATCTCTACATCTGGTGGGGGCAGGAGTTCCTACCCACAATCACAGCAGCTCCTTATTGCCCCAACGGGTACAAACAGCACGACAAGAAGCTTTGACGTTTGATTCAGTGCCGAGAGTCTCACTGCTAATGTTAATTCCTGCTATGAAACAGCTCCATCCACTGTCGGTCTGTTCGTTATTAGTGGTTTAAAAAAAACAGCTGTCCCAGAAAGATCAATGATTTATTTGCTTTTTAACTCTGGAATTTCTAAAAGTGCTGCTGCAGTGTTGGTAATTAGCTGAAAATGGCAATGTTGCTCAATTTGATTCCAGTTATTTGTGATGATTTCCACAAGGCATTCTGAACCACTGCCTGTGTAATGAATAACCCTAATGGCTGTATCGCCAGTTTTTGCAGCCATGGTGAGCATTAAAATGCGCTCACACAGTTTGTCGTCAAAATCAGGTGGATGTGCACCAACATAGTTGAATTAAAACATGAGCGCCTCCCATGCAGGACTTCAGCCAAATTAAACTGAAGACCAATATTCCTCACTAAACAAAATTCCATTGCCATCAGAGATTAGTTTTCTAATTATCTTTTTTGCATTCACATTAGGCGATGTCCCCTCCCTACATTTGCCCAGTCCTTGTTTGGCATCGACGAATGTGGACTTGTTTTTTCCTCCTTGGCACACAGACTGTCACAACCCCCCCTCCGTTATGGGCATCATCGTGGGTGTCACCGTGGGGGTGGTGATCATTGGCTTCATCGTCCTGCTCCTGTGGAAGATGATGGTGACCATCCATGACCGGCGAGAGTTTGCGAAGTTCCAGGAGGATCGCTCGCACGCCCGCTGGGGAATGGTGAGAGCACCTTTGATTATATTAATATCCATTCATTCACCAAGGCCTGTGTCTGAGCCAGTTCAGTGGTGGTGTTAGCAAAGTTGGAGGCGCTGACCAGAAATGAGTACGGCAGTGCCAACCTGTCCATTTATAAAACCTCGTGAGATAACGGAAGAGGTGTAGACATAGTGAGATTAAACAAACGTCGGCAAAAAATCGTGACGGAGTAAGATGAGAGGAGAAATACAGACACCGTAGAGACTACATATATAATTGTGGGTTTTTTTATTTTAGTTAGCTTCTCGTGTTTATTAGGATACAAATTTGAGATTTTAATTAATGCATCACTATTTTGAGGCTCCTTGAGCTGCGTGGGGACCTTGAGTCTTTTCCTGGTGTGCTTGCGCCAAGCACTGCCGCTGGTCAAAATAATTGTCTAAAAAAATAGACTTCGATTAGAACCATTGTGCCAAAGACTGCATTGTTTGGCTCAGATTTTTCCTCCATTTTTCCGAACAAATTAGCTTTAAACTCTCACGATCATTTCACGAGGGATCATGATCATAGATACTAGGTTAAGCCAAAGTGGCAAGTGGACAAAAACTTCACAATGGTATTTTTGTCTCAGGAGAAAAAAATATAATTTGGTAACGGCCACAAAAAACAAACAATTATAGTAATTGATTATATGAATTTATAATCAGACTTTCTCCCATCCCATCTCCCCATTCCGCACCATTCCCTGTTCAGAGCACAAACCCATTGTACAGACCCACGACGTCCACCTTCCGCAACGTCAGCTACCGGGGGACGAAAAGCGACGACAAGTCGACAGTCGAGATAATGCGGCACGATGAGACACTGGACGCGAATGCGGTTCCCTGGAAAATCCGCGGATAATGAATCGGGACTCGTTTGTGGAGGTCAACAGACAAGTCGTGGTTTGACGGAAACAGCACCTTGAATGAGAGCGGACCCGAGTACTTATTGCGAATGAACTAACTGTAATTAGACGTACCTCTTTTCCACTGACACAACCGAGCTACGCCAGGGCCATGCCGAGCAAGCCCGGCATAGCTCAGGAGGTGCCAGGTTGTTATTCCACTGCGGAAGCTGAGCCGTGCCGTGATGTCATACGCATTTAACATATCATTTAGGCCCAATCCTGGCCCCGCTTGGTCCTATGCAAGATTCAGATGTCTTTTGAGGCCGTCATATCACAATTTGGGTTTGGCTGGACTTAAAAAATAACCAGCAGAAAAAAAACCCATCTGCACCATGAGGGCCTGGTCTGTCTCGGTATGTGCTACAGTGGAAAAGGGATAACGATGGTGAGTAGTAGAGTGGAGCCATATTAGGGTTACGCTGAAAGTAAAATTAGGAGGCATATCACCCCCAGGTCCTGTGCAAAGTGCACAGGTCATGGCTATATACCAACCTTCGCTCCACCATCTCTCATGCACTGGAAAGACTTTGCTGGAAAAGTCAACGTGGTTCCAATACCAATTACACAATGTTTAAGCAGATTGTCTCACTGAGTACAATGCATGGTACTGTAGCTTGCTGCTTAGAAACGGATAAGGCACTAATAATCCACAGCATTTAAGCTGGATGAAAACTGTATTGTACATATCCTTTTTTAAGAACAAAAAAATTCCTTTGATTTTTAGCTTAAGGAAATTGTGCTGTACTACTGTATTTCCAAATGTAACTTATTAATTATATGTGGATTTAAAATTGCTGCTGGGAATACCGCCGTGCACTTGTGTGTGTGTATATATACTGTATCGTGTGTTCGACTAACGCGATGGTGTTTTTTGCGTGAGGGTTAAAATCCTGCTCGTCGCAGTGATAGGAATGTTGATGTTTTCTAACAGTTCTAACCAGCACATTTGTTGAATAAAATGGGTGAGGTACATTTAAATGGCACTAAAAGCTTATTTTTTTTTGGTCATTGCCACTAAAGTTTAAAACTTGACAATAAAATAATTTAAAAAATGTTGTCTGCAGTAGTTTGATTGAGATCTCAGTGGGTGTGTAAGCGTGACACGTGTTCACGTGTGAAAGCAGAGTGTCTCACTGAGTACAATACATGGCACTGAAGCTTTCTGCTTGGAAATGGATAAGGCACTAATAACACTAGTCAACAAAAAAAACATTTTTTTTCTGGCCTGGACTTTTGCAGCTGTTTTAGACTAATTTCAGGGTGCTGATTCCAAATCTGATCTCAGATTTGCTCTATCACATCTAATTTTTATGCTATCGGCATACCCCATTTTCATTGATTTTACCCGAAATTAACTCTGTCACTTATAATTGCAAGTTGTTGCGAGTCAGTGACTGCTTTAGTGTTAGAATATGGTGCTGTATTTTTAGGATAGTGTGTTTATAATATAATTGTATGTAGATATCCACATTTATTTAATATTTTTCTTCTGCAGTTTTTATTGAAAATGCAATATTTGATATCTCAAAAACCTGATGTGATAGACAAAAACTGATGCCAGATTTGGAATCAGCACCCCAAAATTACCTTACACCCGTTGGAATACCTTATGCCAGAAAAAGTGTGTTGACCAGTGTAATCCACAGCATTTAAGCTGTCTGAAAACTGGAACGTGTGTAACACGCGTGACGCATGTTCCACGTGTAGCGCGTGTATACGTGAGAGGGACAGCGCTCATTGTTTAGGGTGGCCAGTGGGACGTGTTTAACATCATCGGGCAAATGCAGTGTGGGAACGAGTTGATTTCGAATTGAGGATTTAATTTGGTAAACATGGAAATGCGTAACGTGGTGATGGGTCCCGAGTATGTTCCGTTCCGCTACAACGCCGCGTGTTGTTTTCATAACGCGAATTGGATATAACACGATGAATGTATTAGTGAACACATTTTTTATAACGTGGATGCGAATTGGATATAACGCGCTTGAGTGAAGAGAACTACGTCACGCGAGTAGGAATAAGCGGTCGTATAGCATAGCATTACACAAGGCGGGATGCTGCTGGATGCTTCGAGATGCTACCCACACACGCCTCAATCTTTGTTAAGCCTGCATCCGCCTTCTCACGTGTATTCGCGGACTGTGCTTTACCCTATCTTATATATTATAACGCGATTTTTTCCATAATGCGGTGTGTTCTTCAAGAACACGACTGTAGTGGAGTTTGGGAAACCCCGGGCGAGGGTCAATGCGCCAAGAATATATGCAACCTCGTTTTATCTTGAACACATTTTGGCGTCAGTATTTCTGAAGCACAGAAAAGCAACAGGATTTGTTAGGGTTTCAATCCTGAAAATGATTACCTGTTTTAAAGTGAATTACAGTACTGTATTTTCTTACCGAGATCTTGGAACAAGGCAAACAATGGAAACATGCTTCATTTGCTTTCAAATTATACACTTTTTTTGTCTCCCATTGCACTCAATTACCTTTCTAATGCCATGTGAAAATGTTGCACCGTAATTTAATGCCATACAATTACAAATGGCGTAGAGTGGATCGTGTAGAGAGTATACTGTAGAGTGGAAACAACCATTCCCCACAATCGGATGTCGGTTCCGCTTGTTCCATATGTAGCACCGAAATTGAGTGTGGCACTTTGTAACTGCAGAAATTCATGGTTGTATCTAGAAAATGCCATGCCACCTAAAATGCACCACGCACCATGGAACATATTGCTCACGCCGCCGTGTGCATTGCAAGAAAGATTGCAGGAGAGATTACCTTGCTATCCAGCACTGCATGTGTAAAAAAATAATCATTGACGGCACAGTCAGTTGACCAGTGTATGGAGATAATGAAACTTGGAGTGAGGAAAACCGTATGAGATTTCCTGTAATTGCCGGCTGTGTAAGGTAGCATACAACAATAGCAACAGAAACATATGCTGAATGTTTACACAACACAACCGCATATGTTTTGGTTTGCTACATCGTTCCGAGTTTCCACCATGCTAAACTGAGCATCGGATAGCATTCATCCACAGTATAGTGGTATACTTAACTCTGCGATGGATATTCCATATTTTACCATAACACAATCACTGGCAAATATATATTTTCTGCTATATTAGCATAAAGGTGCATACAACATTTTGCATGCATTCAACAAGTAGTGTTTATTACTTAAAACGGTAAAATCTGCCTTACCAAAAAGTTTCATACCTTATGTAAATATGTGCAGGAGCATTGAGAGTACAGAATATGAAATTATTCTCCTGAATCCCATATATTAAGCAAACATTGAACCTCGTTTCTAATCCAGGAGATGTGCACAATACAATTCAAAACAATAAAAAATTTGATTTGTATAATAAATTAGATATAATTACTAGTCAGGGTACAAAATTGTAGGTTTGGGGACAGGATTTGGCTTCGAGCAGTGGGTGAGTTAATGGCTAAGGTAGATCATCTTTCCTCTCTTGGATGTTTGCCTCTGGGCAGCATAGTTAGCGTGGGGCTTGGCCCTCTTTTTTAAAATATATATACGATCCCAGCCCACCATTCCAGTGTCAACCCAAGGTGGGCTTTGCACATTCAACAGTACACACGCGAGTGTGATCACGCATACATTTGGAAAAGCACACGTCTGATCTTTCACCCCATCTTCCAGTCAAACCTGCTTTGTAACATCCTTCAGGTGACACAAAGCAAATTACCACCGAAGAGTTGGCCAAAAACCACGAACATGTACAGAAGACCCCCTTTCATCGATTCACTGCTGGATGAGAGCCTCCCCCATGCTGTGGGGGCTGTTACACCATACTTCACCATGCTGGTCAGTACTGGTTGGTGAAGGCGGGGAATATTGATGTTGGAGCATGGTACAGTGCAACGTTTGATTTTGCTCCACTGCCCTCTACTGACCACGTAGCCTCGCAGTACTGCACACGTGTATGCAGTACTGGAACCAAAGAGTGACCAACATAGAAGGTTGCAGATAGAAGAAGACCAGTGATGAGATGGAAACTGGCACTATTTGGACACATACGGAGGATGGACAACAGGGAAATTAGAAATGTGTTGTTCGGAAAAAAAATGAATAGGAACCGGAAAGAGGCCTCAGAGAGAATGTCATGACGACGAAGACATGAGAGGTTGGTGCCAGAAAGATGTGCGCACGCCTTGAGCACATTGGCACGAGACAGAGGAAAGTGAAAGAGTGCAGTGGACACCCACGTGCTATCTGCCCATCATGGATCGTCATGATGATGGCACTTGACATAAGGATTGGGATTTGCCTATGTATGTATTGTATATATCCTTATATAAATGTAGGGTGAAAATGGTGAACGTGACTTTTTCGAACAAGGATAAAAAGGATTTAAAATCCTTGAAAAAATTACGACTCGTGCGATTCTTGGCGGTACGAATTCGTTTCCACGTGAAGCCGAATTTTTACCGAGTCGTCTGTGATGCATTTGCTCACGTGTCTCTGAGGCTGTAAGGGGAAAACTACAGGAGAAACGGAGTGAAAATTAAAATTCCACAGGTGCAGCTGCCTCATCTCAATTACATATTTTTTGTGTGGACTGCTACAGTACGTGGGCTGGCTGATCGCCAGAACGAGGTCAGTCCATCCCCACGACTTTTGTAAGTGGGGTCTGAGTAATCGGAAACATACGAGAAATATAGGCCTGCCCACTCCTTTTAACAAGAGATTTCGGATTCGTTAAGCTCCAGGATTAGTTCAGCAGGCTGTTGACATCACGTCCTCGTTTCTCAGCTTTGTTGTGCTTTCTCTTTCTGTAAGTGCGTCTGTTTAACTTATTTCGCACCCAACGTGGCCAACAGTGATAATCGGAGGTTGCAGATTAGAACCCTTTTAATCGGACAAAAAAAACACAACGCTTTGATCTAATTAAGTAATATGTAAATCTCAATGTTTAAAGATTGTGAGTTGTTTTACCCGCCGCGGTCTCACGTCAACGGATGGAAATCGTGGTGCTGGGCCATCCCTGGAACAGCCCCGGAGCTCGCCAAATAAAATACCAAAATGAATAGTTTGTTTCACAGAGGTGGAGGAAAGCAGACTTTCGGTGCCTCGTAATGAGTGAGGTTAACCAAGTAACTGAGCCAGACCTGTGGAGCCTCATTGTAAAGGTTGTTTGTAGCTCGGGGAGGGGTGGGGGACAAATGCCAAAGGAAAGATCTGTAAACAAATGACTAAATGTGGAAATACCAAAAAATGAAAGTCAACCTCATGTAAGCTCAAAACACACTTGACAATTGAAGCGACATAGAAGAAAAAGCTGGGTTACTGGATATGCACAAAATAAATGCTTCACAGCTCATTTCAAATTCCCTAATTGCTGCAACGTTTTTAAAAATAGTTTTTTTACTTTGCATGAAATTAATGGGCATTTAAGCGTGCAGAAAGTGAAAGTACGTTGCTGTGGCAACGTGGGGAAAAGCGCTTCAATAAACAACAATTGGGCGCCTTGTCAAGGCGCCCTTTCCCCCCCCTCCAACCCAGCTTATATATATATGTTCCAAGCACGTGCGCTGTTTCATTCAGACGCTGTCGCCTCGACAGACCTGGTTTTCACCTGAGGACGGCTGCTTGCGTTGTGGCCGAAACGTCGTGAGAATTATTTTATTATGTTTTATTTTTATTATTTTATTACTTCCCTTCTAAGTGACTTTACCGAAAGAACCAAGAA